CTTGTCAATTCTTCAAAGTTCAATCTAGAATTGTACATTTTCCTTCACAATGTTGAGAAAGTAAGGGATTACAAGTTGCTATCATATATAATTATTTTTATATGTTAAAGTGTACAGCCCACCTGATTTAAGATTTAGCGCAGCAATAACGTTTTCTTCAGTAGCAACAATAATCTTTTTTGCGGCCGAGACAGTGTCAAAACTGGCGAATTTAATTTTACCAACGTAATTCTGTTTCCTGTAAGCATAACAATGAATCATTCATTTCAAATGGTTTAATAATTAATACACTGTTAGACGATGAAAACACGTTGCATTATTTAAGAAATTCAGCATCACAATCAACATTGGTTGAAGGATTAGAAGTAATTTACCAGTCAAATTTTCCAACTTGATCTTCGTAGAGACATAGAGATAAATTAAACAGCCCGAATAGTACGATAAGGTATTGTAATATTTGAACATCAGTTAAAAACCGGTTGATATTCCCTCTAAAACTCCATACGAATAGAGCCATGACGATAACTTGAAAACGTATCAATCCATCCGCTTACACAAATTGTCTTCGCACCTGACGTATAACCATTGGTAATGTAACTTAGTGATGGTCACTTCGCGTAGAATTCACTAAAATGAATAAATGCATGGATATTTTAATATTTATAACATTTTAGTAACAACGATTAACTATAAAGCTTTTTGTAAAGGTATAGAATATCTTGGACTATCTCTTTACCTATTAAACTCTAAAAACTATGCTGTGTACTTATATACATACTACAACATCATAATTTTTGTAAAACAATATACGATTTTAATAAGATCTAAACAACCATATGAACACATATTAATTGGAAAATTGAAATAAATAGTAAAAAGTAAATGCAAACAAATCGAAAAAAACAAAAACAGGATCAGAATTACGTCTCCTGAAAGAAAATCTCAATCATTAAAATCTGTTCATATTTTTCTTCATTTCCCATTTCCTACTTTGTCTTCAATTGTACTTATATACAAAATGACCATTTGAGCATAACTTGCGAGAAAGCTGGAAAAAGCAATAAACGAAAGACGTAACCTGTTATCGAATTCTAGAACTAAAATTATGAAACGCATTCATACTATACACAGGGAGATTCTCTCGGTGCGCAACACAATAGCCGCCCCGCATAATGGAACCCTGCTGTGTTTGCGGGCAAAAAGCTCAGGAGGTCAAGTCGTCGGACCCAAGACTGCTCTGTGTGTCTTGGGTCTGGCGATTTGACCTCCTGGGCTTTTTGCCCGCAAACACAGCAGGGTTCCATTGTGCGGGGCGGCTATTGCGTTGCGCGCCGAGAAAATCTCCCTGTAGAATTACTGTACATATAACTAATATTTGTACACTATGAGTCTCTACAATTGATTGCTTTGAACTTTGAAGTCCAGTCTGCGATGAAAGATCAAAACTAATTTATACGGTATTAAAAAACTGAATACGTACTTTATACCGCAGTTCACCAGAGTCCATAACTGCGAAAAGACCAGTTTCCGTTCTTTGCGCTTCTCCAGTGCGCATCTTCGCCCTGATTGGCGATACTCCCAAACGAAGTGGAAAGCGATTAGCAGAGAGCTCGTTGCGTTCCCCCACCATCTTCCAACCTGCGCGTCGCAGTTATGGACTCTGGTGAACTGCGGTATAGATATGTTCATCCAAACCGGGTATTTAGGTTACTGTGTTGTTATCCAAGTATTTATAAGTTTGAGGAGAATTTCTGTTTAAACGTTTGATTAACTGTTTACAAAACGATTAATTATATTTATTCAAACATCTTTATTTCTATGTAAAAATACCATTAAATCAATATTTTCTGGTAACAAGTAGCTACAGTTAGAACTAACAATATTTCCAGCTGTTGAAATTGCGTGTTCAGAACTGATAGATGTAGCAGGAATACTTAAATACATTTTAGCAAGTTTTGCTAATCTGGGATATTTGTTTTCATGCATTTTCCACCACACTAAAGGACATAAATTATGATTTATTTGAGTTTCTAACAAATATGTTTGAAACTCTGAATTACTTCCACTACTAGGATTTACAGCTTGAAATATGAAATCCAATGCACTTGAAAAAGGATCAACATTTTGAAAATTTTTAATGTCTGGAATTGAAATGTTTTCCATCATGTCACGAATGGAGGTTTTAATTATATTCTTTACCTCATTGCTCTCAAATGACAACTCTTTGCTCCTTGGATCAAGAAAAGAAGCAATACGATGAACCGTTTCAAAATGTGAATTTAAATTAAATCTATTAATAAGAGAGGTTTTCAAAATATTTTTGAAGTGTTTGGTTTCAGCTGTTTCAAAGTCATTACTTTCCAGGTGGTTATTAATAAGCCCATGAATAACAGGACATACTAAAGAAATAGTTACACTTCTTTCAAAGCATAATGCAGTAATTGCTACTTGTAAAGGTTTGAGAGCCACAATAATATCACTCATAGTTGACCACTGCTGTTCAGACATTTCTAGTTTTAATGCAATATTTAATTTGGTAATATTTCTGTCTGCTAAAACAGAAACAATTGCATTTTTCTTGCATACAAGTTGTTCGCACATATAGTAACTAGAGCTCCACCTCATAGGACAAGTTTGTATTAATTCTTGTTCACCTAAGTTTAAGTGTTTTTGTTTTTCAGTTAAAGAAGAAGTAGCTACATTGGAGTGACGAAAATATTGTACAATTTTGCTGCCTTTTTGTATTACTTCTTTGTAGTTATCAACTGAATTCAAAGCATCTTCCACGCACAATTGCAATGTGTGTGCAGCGCATGAAATGTTGTATCTCACACCAATTAATGAATTTGTAGCCTTACTTACATTATATGCATTATCGTGGACTAAACTATTTACTTTACCACTTAAATGCCATTCTTCTTTAATTATATTAAACATACTGGTTAAATTTTCGTCTGTATAATGATCTTCCATTGGCTGTGTACAAAGCGTATAATTTTTAATAATCCACTTATCATCTATAAATTGTGCAGCCATGGAAATATATGAATCTTGTGATTTTGAGGACCATCCATCACTGGTAATAGCTATATCAGATGCCATAGAAAGCTCTTCTTCTATTTTCATACGTTTCTCATTGTATAAAAGTTGCAATCGATGCATAATACTTTCAGGAGAAGGACAGTGGTATCCAGGTTCTAATATAGTCATAAATTGTTTAAATCCTTCGCTACTGCAAAAAGAAATAGGCATCATATTTAAGAAAATCATGTGAGCAAGTGCTTCTGATATTTGCTCTTGTCGATCCGAGCTATACGACAAATCCATTTTCTGTAGCAACGGACGAGAACAGCCTTCTTCATTTTTAGGCAACAGTTCTAATGCCGACGAATCCTTACTATCCATATCAAAACCTTCGGTAGGCGAAGTAAAAAATGTTTCACGGTGCTTGCCCCGTAAATGCTTCATTATAGCTGACGTTGATCCATTATAAGATAACGTACGGTCACATATAGTGCACTTAACAAATTTTCCATCTTCTGATGGAATACTATACATCCACACTAAACTCCTACGTAAGGCCATTGTTAATACGAACTATGTAAGTTCGTAACAAATAATAAAGAATAATATTGTATAGTCAATGAAAATGATATAATGAACTTGTAAAATTGAGCAAACATCAAAATATGCGTGTTCTAAACGTCAAAATAGAAATAAGAGAAGATAAGGAATTAAAGTTTCGTAGAATAATTGGTTTGGAATTGGTTCTTCCTCAGATTCTACAAGACTTATCGGTTGTTACAATGGAGTTATAACGCGGTTGCTACCTTCTTACTATACCCGATACATAATGAGTAACGGTGTGCGGGTACCCGGGATTACGAGTTCGGGTCGAGTCGGCAAAAGTCGGCCGGGCTCGGGCGGATACCCGTTCGAACATTCGTACGAATGTTCATGTCGGATGGCGCGCAACTTCGATTATATAACTCCAAAGACCTCGGGTATTCAAGAGTTGCACAACAGCTCGGTAGTTGGTTTTTTGTCAGATTTGCTTTCATAATATTTGTTCAAATATTATTCACTTAGACATTGATACAGTCGGATCATCATTCTTTTAAAAATTTTTACAAAACCCACAATTTTATTTATTCCTTTCTGTGTTTGCAACCCATGTATTTGACCATTAAATTACAATAAATAAAGGATTTTAATAAGTTGTAGAAAGCTCTTGATATGTTCGAGTACCCTACGACATACTATTTTTCTTCGAGTTGTTTGAAGATATCGGATTCTGCGACCCTCGTGTCGTTACTTGAGTTTCTATTGGATGCCCGTAATTTATATTACCACGCCGGAGAAAAGTTGCACGCGGTCCCACCACCGATAAGAAGCCATTTTTCATTTTGTCTACACGGGAACCGATGAAAGCCAGTCGACTGGAAGTGTGGCAATAAAAAAAGGGTCGCCCTTCAAGACTTTGCACCTTCGACCATTCAACCGTGGAGGGTTAAGACTCGTTTCCTGAGACTTAATTTCGTTGTACCCCCGTCGACACTTATTCTTATTATTTTTTCCTTTGCCCCGTAAATCATCAATTTCCTTTATTAACCGCATTCTTGATTACAAGAAAAACCCTTCGAATTTCTTCAAACAAATTTTCGCGAAACCATAACGGCGACGTGTTATCAACTAACATAAATTCCGACAGAAATGATCTGGAAGAAATAAATGGGTTGATAAAATTCAATGATACCTTAAGAAAAAAAAAATCATTTTCGACTATCCTATTTATTCTATTCCGAATAATACTGAGATTATATTAATAAATTGAAGCATTGTATCGAAAAATTAATTTTCAATGTTTAATGATCCATGTAGTGTGCCGTACTGGATACGGCTATTTCTACCGCGACGGTCAGCGTGTTAAGGGGAGAACCCTAATCGATGAGCGCTAATTCATATGAATGATCGGGCTTTTACGAAAACAGTACAGGGGATCTATTTGAAATTTTGAGAGTAGTTTTTTTATATCCATACATATAACAAAAAACTATTCAAAAAAAGGTCATTTAATGAGGTAATTAAAGATAATTTACAAGGTGTTTTGTAGTTTCGTCCAACAGTATAGGAAAACGGGTGAATCTGCGAAGAAATCCTTTGCATCGGATTCTACGTAGAACGTCAGTATGTGTAATTTTTTTCTAGTTTGGAGCCAGCTTAATAGGTACACATTGCCGTCGTGACAGAATAATAACGATTCGTTTGAGGCCGTTTTAACGGGCATGGAAATCGTGGCGACCAATAGCTGGTGTGTTTTCGTCCGATACCGATTCCATCTGGCTGCTGATTCCCAATCTCAATAAAGCCAGTAATAGACCAGTTACAAGCTAACAGGCTCCCATACCCATCAACCGACCGACCGACCGGACCGACCGACCGGTTTCCCTCTTCTATCCCTCTACCACCCTCGATATATTTGGCCGACGCAGCTTAACCCAGGGGATGGTTCCATGCGGTGGACTTGAAGCGCGTTCGAGCGTGAAAACTCGCCTGAAAAATGCGATGCACCGCGGTGAATTTGTAAAACGGTCTCGTGGAAAAGCGAGAAACGGGAAAGCTACAGAGTGTGCAGAGCAGCTACCTTTTTATTCGGAAATTATCGACCCTGTCTTGGCGTCGGACGGTGGACGTGAGTGGTTTTGTCTCCGCAGATTCAGCCGACTGAAACGTGAATTTTTGCTCGGGCGATGGTCCAACGATGTTGCGACTCTCCCCTAACGAATTCTCTTCTCTTCTTCGCGCTCTGATTGCTCGAGGAATTTTCGACAATGCGACGGATTGTATGATTCTCCTTGATTCGAATCAACGTAATCGAGAGTACCTGAGGTGAAATTTAAATTCTAATTTGGAACCAACAATTGTAGATTAAGTGTTAGGAGCCAGATGTGAAATTTCAGCGCTGGTATTTGCGTAGAAATTAAAGTGTAATTACGACGTTCGGATATTATTTATGTTACGACTCGAACCAGAATGCAAGAAATCCAAATTTTCCTCTCTAGATATTTGATGTTACATTCCAGATTTTTATCAATCGTGAAATACCATCGTATTGCTTTTGAAATGAATTTTTGTACGCTATTATCGTGCGGTAGTTACGTATGACTGGCGGCTATATCGAATCGGAAAAGAGCAGAATAGTTTCCGTTCTGCTGCTATCTTTGGATTCGACTCCCATCAGCAGAGAACTACTGTCTCGGATATTATTTTCCTTTATTGCTTTATTTCCCCTCGCAACTGTACGCATTCTTTCATCAAATATAATTCAAAGCTATTAGGTCTATGCAAAAGTTTCCGTCCCTTCTTTTGCGAAGAATGCACATTTATTTTTCATTATTTTTCTTCATAAACGGGCAACAATCATCCTTTGACACAGTGTAATATGATCTAAGAAATAATCTTCATTTACTTAAAAAAAAAAAAAAACTAAGAAAGTTAGTTATAGATCTCTTATTTTTATATTTAAATCTTTTTTTATGGTTAAAAATAAATCAGTTCAAATATTTGTTCTTTTCTCCCAAATCGTTCTTATAAAACTTGTTTCCGTGTCAATCGAGATTGGAATTTCGCACGTGTTGTTCGTGCTGAAGGTTTCACGAGCTAAATAATATATGTTTATCTGCTCCTGATAGCATCGCACCCTAGAGTCCTTCCGACGTAATCCCGTGGCGTAACTTTTTACCCCTCCGTGTTCGAGCGGCTGACACACGTGCAGGATGTTATACGTGGAATACTTAACGTTATAAAACCCTAGCAGAGTGATGTCCTTATAGAAGATTGCGCGACACAAAACGAACAGCCGCGATATAAAAACCTCCCTTGTACTTTCCACGATTTCCCACGTCTTTTCCTTCTATTCCCTATTGAAACATCCTTCGCGGGGACGCCATTTTCAGTCGATAGAACGAAATTTATCGAACGGCGTAACAGCCATTTCGGAAACTAAGTTTTAATGGTGTTTTGAAGAATGGAAAAAGGCTTAAGGGTCAACAGAGGAGTGACGGTTCAAGTTTGAATCGATCTTGAGAGCCTTGCGTATGCGGGGAAACCGAGAAACTTCCGGTGCTTGGCTAGCAAAGACACCTGCTTAAAATGGAAGCAAAGACCGGGAGGAGATCATGGAAATGGCTTTATAATGACTCTCGCAGCCCCTGTTCTGCAAAGCAACTCGAACCTCACACAGCAGGCGCTGGACCTGTTAGTCCAGAGCTGAGCCGAGTGCAGAATAGCTTTGGTCATCATCGCGGGGTCATATAATACCCTCGATTACTCCTGATCACAGAGGGTGGGTTTTCGCGGTCCCCGGCGTGTTCGGGCCTATATACAACACGGAGAGGGATTCGTGTAGATCGGGGGGTGGAGGTCTAACAGTATTTTAGTGTCCGGTATTGGTCCCGAGAGACTGGAACACCAAATTCGCTCTGTACAGCGGAACGACGAGAAATGACGTGAAAGGTGAGGCGGTAATGAATTGGGCGGCGTGGAGTTACGTTGTGAATGAAAGTCGTTCGGGAAATACCGAGCAGTCGATACCAGCTCGAAAGGGTTTTCAAAGAAGAGAAATCGTACGTCTGGATTTTGTCTTAACTGTTAGATATATATCGAGGGGAAAAAGGGGTAAGTTGGAGTGCTTGGAGAATGTGCATAATCTAAATTCTAGGTTCACTAGAAATTTATGTTTAACGTAAGACGAGAAGCAAATAAATCCTCCGTATTCTAACGTAGAAGCATGCAATAAATTTGAGACATAGATTCCGCAATTTTGGACGCATATTACCAGACATTTTCGCACGTTGCCGTGTAGTATCCCTTGAAACACAGCGACGAAAACATAAGGCGGTAGTTGCTTGTAAAAGAATATGATAAAGAGGATATTTTATTTTACCCAAAATAATGTTTCTGTATTTAATGCAACAATTGATTGAATTATGGTCAGCATGAAAGCTGTAATTCAACAAAGTGATTAAGTAACGAAGCCGGCCATTATACGATATTAATTTCGTTCCGAGTGGGGCGGTAATTTGGTTACGGAATTTTCAACCAACCCTATGTGCATACAATTAAATTACTTTTACTAATGAAATTAGTATACAATGTAGATACGTAGAATTAGTATAATGTAGATAACAAAGATATTGTATCATTTTTCAATTCTACTTTCTTACAATTGCTTAAAGAAATATTTATTTCACACATTTTGTCCCAGGATGTACCAGAAATAAATGGACGGTCTTTTAAATAAGACCTCGTCTAATGGTGGCGTTACTTTTGAAGGCTCACGATGCGATTACCAAACTAATCCAAAACAATCATTAATTCTCGTGGCGAAGTATTTCGATAGGACGTCTTGAGGGTCGAGAATCGTGACACCCCTTAAAAGGCGAGCCATCGTTATGCCTGACTCGGCTGGTGCTAAGAAGATTCTTCTAACTAGCGAGTGTAATCTCCGAGAGCTAACTCATCGGACCCTTAATTCGAGGAAATCAACCCCGTACCATCATTTCAAGAAATGAAGACAAATGCGAAAGGCCTGTCGCGGTTGGTCTGTCGTTTCGAGCGTACTCGAGTCACGAAAATACTTCGAATAAGCACAATAGAATGAAAGTAGAATAGAAGTATCACTTTTAACGACTTCTACTTTACCAGGATCGTTTGTGGTATCTCTCCTCGCGCCAACAATAAGATTCTCCGTGGAAAGTTCGTAGAATAGAAGAAGCCTGGATGGTTGTTGCAATAGGCGGAAATACAGGCGCGTATTTGTTGAGTTTCGAGTGCGAACTTGGTGCGGTTTCAAAAGTCCGTCGTGCGAGCTGCTGCTTTCCTCGAGCCCTCACGCGAGACCGCGTTTACTCAGCCTGGTCACGTACGTGAAGCCAGTTGTTTTGGGGAAACTCGGCAGGTTGCGTGGGTGGTCGTAGAATTTAACCAAGGACAGAGACAGGGCTATAAAGAGACGAAGAAACGCAGCTGGAACATTTTCAGGGAAATGGCAAATTGTAAGATTCAAATTATAGAACTGATTCAAAGTACACAACGCGATATTCCAAGCACGTACAGTCTGCTGCAAAAGTAAATCTCTCTCGATTTTTGATATATCCCTTTAGAAACGATGCTGCGTATATAAAAATTGTATTATATCTTTCTTTCTTCTCCCGCTTTAGGGATGTTCGGTTGTTACCCTGGTCGACCCCTCGCCTGGCGAAAGAACTGGTCGAGAGGCGGCGACGACCCTACCAGGAGGAAATGCACGTCGAGGATGTAATCTTCGGGCTTTCCGAGGGTGGAAACCGACACCTCGACATTCCACTTCGGAACACAGCGACTCGCGAAATGACGAATGCCAAGCGGAACGCACCTGCTACCCGGTAAGGAAATCGAGGCGAACGAATTCGTTGAAAGATCGAGGGTTGGAGAAAATGCAGGAGGCGAAAGCACTGTCTCCGCGAAAAGATTTAAGATTCTACAAGGGGACCGAAAGATCTGTAACGTGAAAGAAGAAATTCGCGTTCCTTGAAAATCCCACTTTACACCGGAATATAATATAAATCATTATTAGACTTTTAGATTCATATTTAGCGGACGAAAATATCTATAACAAAGGGGAGAGTTAAAGTTTCTAGGACAGCATCATTTTTCAACCGTCTGTTTGTTTCCCACAATGTATGCGGTAATGGTAGAAAAGTTTCGTGGATCATCCATTTACCGAGCATGATGTATCATCACCGTAGAAAGATTGCTTTTCTTGATTGAGGGGATAATGTTTTCCGCGCGTAACTCAATTATCGGGCAAAACGAGCCGACGGTTCGTCCGTGAAAAGTACGCGCACCGGATGCGTGGGAAAAATGGTCCCAACAACCATGCATCATTTCGCAGTGCAACGATAACGTATACGGTCCACGACACTTGATTAAATGCAGTGATGCTTTTCTTATATTATTTTCTTCTGATTTTTAAATTATTATGTATATTACCTTTAGTGCTGTTTCTTTTTTTTTTGAATAATTTTCATTAAAAAAGTTTGCAAATTTAAATTTTGTCATTTATTATATATTATTATAAATTTTTATATAACGATTAAATTGAAGGTTTGGACAACGAAAAGATAATTACATAACCATTGAATATTTCTAGAGCCCTCCATCTTAAAATAGGCTCTCTCCGTGGCCCGCCATCCGAAGGTTAATACAAAGCAACTTAACAAATAAGAAGTAGTGATCAATAAAATTGGAATCATTTATAGCCTCGAACAGTTCAGCCGTATTACTTTAATTAAGAGAAGGAGACGAACGTTCGTTTGTATTAATAACATCAAAGCGGTGTTTTAAATGTGGAGACGTAGTAACCGAGTAAATATTTTAACGATGCAGCAGCTTTCAATCAATCGAGTTTTGCAAATCAACCAGTGCCAGGGTGTTTCTCGTGCAAACAGACTCGATAAAATATTCTCGATTGGCCGGTTCGCTTTTGAAATAAAATTCAACTACGTCGAGAGTTGAAAACTGATCGATCAGGATTGGTGTGCAATAAGGGAAGGCAGGAAAAACGATGAGCGGTATTAAAAGTCAATATTTAATCCGGAATAAATCGTAACGCGTGCCATCGACACGAGCTACCGAAGAGGATTAACCATGTAGCTTCAGGGTGAAAGGAACAGTAAAAGACGCGCGTTGTATTGGATCGTTCCGAAAGTTCAAGTCCGTAAGAATAACATAGGGTGTCTTGAGGGGAGTTTTATAAATTTCCCGCCGAACAGGGAGGGATGCCGTTATACTCCAAGTATTTTTGAAAAGTCTTCGTATACATACGCGTTGAACTTGATCCCATCCCTACTTGGCAGAATGCAAAAGCCGTGAGGCAAGTACAATGAAAGTACCATTTGCTGTAGCAGACGCGGTACTCACCCTCGCGAATGGTGCGTGCCTCGAATATAATTTATTACTACTAGAATTTTGTGGGGTTCCGTGGACCCTCTGGTTGAAACGGTGTGTAGTGACAACCCTTAAAGCTCAGCCGGTCGCTACGAGCAGTGTAACTTTTATCCTCTGTTCTGGTTGCACGCCGTTTGTGCGAACGTTGTACAAGCCCCTAATGGTTCGTATTTTATCGCGTTCCTATTGTCGTTCACCCAGGACAATGCTCTTGATTAGGGCTACCGTTGCCGCTCATTGAAATCATCTCCGAATCTCATTCACAAATATCGTTTGCCTTTCGCGCCGTGAAAATCTGCATTCGTAAAGCCTTGTTTTTCTCTCATTTACTTATACGATCGTACTGTGAAAATTTGTATAATTTATAAAAATATTAAGTACACTGTAGCGGGTGTACTCGTTCTTCGTCGAATAAAAGGCTGAAATTTCTCTTTCTTTCGCTTCAATTTCTCGCCGTTTCATTTCATGAATGAAGCTATGACGAGAGAATCATCAGATATAAAACTGCTCGACAAAGAGTTTCACTACCGGGGGTCCCGATGGCGGAACAAAAATTGCGAACAAACATGCATAGTTGGCTGCTCTATCAGCTGAAATGAAAAGCATCCCGCAGCTAGAACGAATAGCGTACGACGAGATAAAATCTACAAATTTGATACAACTGCAACGTTGGAAGAGTATATAGTTTGTCGCATGGAGAGATATATTCTTTTTGAAATTTACCGTGCTTGTTTAGCCGGAATTAACGAGTACAATGTCGCCTTCCTAGATTGCTCCTGTCACGAATTTTGTTCGCGATATCTTTAGACTGTATTAGCTCGACTCATGCGTCCCGCGGGTGCAGTATTCCTGGAAGTTTCATCCAAGTTTGGATCCTGTTATACCCCTTTCTCTTGTCTGTCCGACACGAGTGTTGGCACTGGCGCGGCTCCGAACGACCAACAAACCTCGCGATATCCTATCCCCTTGCGATTATCCTTCTGCGCGAGAAGTTAACGCGTTCTACCAATTTCAACGACTTCGCAATTAACCGGTTTAGAGAACACGCTTGGCAATTTTCTTCCGTTTCCTTGCTTCGTCCTATCGATCTATAAAATCGATTGTAAACGAATCTGCTTGAAATCAATTTTCTTGCATATTTCTTTGCAATCACTTTCGTCCAAATGTCTATAGGGGGAGTTCCCCTATTACCGGACGGCACCTAGTATCAGACATTAGCTATATCTAAAAGAACTGAAATGTGATAAAATTGTTTCAACCGTCCAAATAAAGGAGAGGATAAAACAAACGTTTGACGGTTGAAACAATTTTGTCACATTTCAGTTCTTTTAGATATAGCTAACGTCCGATACTAGGTGCCGTCCGGTGTTAGGGGAACTCCTCCTACGAGTAATTGCATCAACAATTATCGTAATTGACGTGTAACCTGAACGCAGAATGATTATCTTTGGTATCGTTTCGACTAGTGTTTGTAAACGCAGTTGCTAGTAAACGTTCCCGCGATATATCAAGCGATTCTATATATAAAGCTTTTAAGCCCAGATTCTCTGGCCCGCTCGTATAATTAGCAGTGTAAGTGTTCACGTAGATGCTGCCACGTATACCATCGAAGATACGATCTATAAGTTGTCGAGAAAGATCGTTTCCACGGACTATTCGAACTCGGCGAGCTCGCGTTGTTAACAAGAGAATAAGAGACAGCTGCGTTTTCTTGCTTACCAGCGTATCAAATCTGTGCTAAAACCAGGATGTTTTCGAATCGGATACCAACCTGTTTTTAGAATTCTTAATCCCTCTCCCTTACAACGCGTTATATGGTTTGTTGTTTCAGTCGCCCGATTCAGAGATAGCAAAACAGGTTGCAACAGCTGCATCATCCACAATTTTCATTCTTTTTTGGGGAGGTAATGGTGTAACGTCCAAAAAGCTTACTGAATGAAAATTATTTCATGTATATAAGAAATGGTTGAGGATATGCGAGAAGCAGGTTGCTAAGATAATCTTTAGTGAAAAAAGTAACTTGATTAGAAAAATGGAAAATCAGGAGGTACTGTCCTTCCTAAACCGATCCTTGTATCGAACTGAGCGAAAGATTAAAAGGTCGCTAATACTTGTACCTACAAAAATTGTACCAGTGAAAATGGGAGCTATAATTAAAATGGAATGTTTTTGAAATTAAATATTTCTCGTGGAGATGCGAGCGAATGAAAAGAGAATAGAAGTCGGAGAGTAAAGGACGAAAGTGGACTCAGAATCAGTATTACCGGTGATACAGTGCTCCAAAATATTACACGTCCACTTGAAATTTTGTGGTTTTAATATTTTCAAGTGGATGATAATTAGAATCCAACGAGCATAACCAGGGTTTTTTCAAATACTGAACAACTGAGAAAAATCAGATTCCTGATATTACGGATATTTACCGAAAAAAGTAAAATACGTCTGTGCAGTTTTAATTAAAATGGTAAATATTTTAATAACGAGAAAACGAAGAACAATCTCTCACTTGCGAATTGCGACTAATGCTTTGCCGAAATAACGCTATCAGTACTGTACTCAGAGATTCTGCCTTTCCCTTTACGACAATACACAAACGCGTAGATCAAGGAGAGAACAGGGCACTCGAGGAAATGATACAGCCAGGATCCTTTACGAGGAAATTGGATTTGATGCACCATAATGGTTGATCGGAGTACAAAGTCCAGCACTTTGGGAACAACACTACGTAAGATGGTGCTTATCTAAAAAAGTATCTATTACATGATTGTTTGCAAAAAGAATAAGATAAATTGGAACACCATATATACGATAGGACTGCGTTACTTAATTTTTCAGTAGGTCAAGAATCAATCAAAAAGATAATATAACTCTTCATTTATATTATAAAAACTGAACCCAAATTAAAACATGATGGAAATTAAACCTCGTACTGAAAATTGGACAAATGAATCCGAACAAGCTGTTTCGGTCTCCTTTGAATAGAATTGGCTAACTCATCGTTAAATAGGGGTCCTCGCATGTTCATTGACGAAGGTCGGACTTGAAGCCAATTGAAAACCAATTAGATTCCATCGGACTTAATATAAGAACTTGGACTATCGTGATGTATTAGAACGAATACGAAATACAATATGAATCGAATACGACGAAGACTGCTAAAAAATTCCACAAAATAACAAGTACGATTTTCACGGTGAGCAATCGTAATTGGATGACGATAAGAAAGCTGGCTACGGATGATTTTCCGCGTGGCTCTGATCGGGAAACGTAAAAAGAAAAGCGGCAAGCTATCTAAAGTGGCGTCTGACAGGGAGAAAAGTATCGTGGTAACGGAGTCTGCGTGCTGCAACCGCGTAACTCGGGGGTCGAAGAAGAAGAGGATGGAATCTGTATAGTGGGGGTAGATCAGAGGGAGAGGATAGCGGAGGCGAAATCTGGTCTCAGTCGTGCGCGACGCGCCATATGCGGTGGGTCATTTGTCAAAGTGCTTACAAAGGCCAATAATCGTCTCGCATGACACGTGTGATCCCCTGATAAAAACTGCCACGTGCTGCCGGCACCACCCCTCAGCCAGGGGTATCAGGCTGACCCCATCCCCGACCAGTTCGCCGTCCGGAAATTTGACGGAACAACTTTTTCCCTCGAAGCGAGCCGACAATCTCGTTCGAGTTCTGATCGAAGAACGGATCCTCGAACTTCTCCGCGGCGCTATTTTTTTCTCCTGCGATTCAATCGTTCGGCGAAAACTAATCTTCCGAGAGGAGTTAGCAGAGGGATCAAAGAGGGTGAAAGATGCGATACCTCGTCGCGGTGGAGTAACGCAACGTTTTCTTTCTTCGACGAGACTGCCTTCCAACTTCGTGGGAAAAGTTTACACCGTGATGCTCGATACAATGCCGTGGTCGAATCCGAGAAGTTAGCAGCCGGACACGATTGAAAAGGTGACATTGTTGGACGGTCGCATGGGGTGCGTTAAGTTAGACGCCTTTTTACCTTCTCGGAACTCGAAGAAACGGGAATCGGTAGTGGTAATCGATGGGGGAGCTTAAGTGAACCGAAGATTTACGTTCGAATTGAATGTGTAATCGTATAAAAGGAAAGAGCCAGACAGACGTCGTTAAGGGAAAAGAATTGTGCGCGTACAGCTCGCTGACGCAAACAGCCTTCGACGAGCAGCGGATGAAAATCTCGTTAAGGAGCCTCGAAAGGGAGAAACGAAGATTTTGGAATGCATTATCAGAAAAGGTAAGTCGTAAAATATCGGATATAGTTGCTAATTTTATGCTCGAGAAAGTTTTATCGCCTGTGCGATAGCGGGCCGGGAAATTTATTCAAATTGAGTTGTCGGATCTTTGAATTTCCACGCGGTAGCTGATGTCAATGCAATCTGAATGCTAAAGAGACTGAACCATTGATGCACTTAATCCTTCAAGGTCGACGTACACCTGCAATTAGAAAAAAAACTATGGTTAATTAAAAGTTAATTAAAAATTCTTCTTGATTAAAATAACAAAAATCGTATACATCTTGAAATACAACAATGAAATAAATGGCTACATGGTCGATACGTAAAATAACGTTGAAATGTAAATTTGGGATAAATATGTAGAAAAGATTCGGAGTGCCTTGCATTATCCCCGATTTATCGATCACATGACGTGAATTTATAACGCAGCGGGTATTTCACATTGAACGCGTTTTATATTTAGCAAGCCTCATTGATAGACGCATTATCGCGCCCGCTTTATGTTAAGGCGAGGAATAATTAATTCGATTCAGCAATAAATTTACAGATTACAACGTCCGTATATAAAGGAGCGAATTGAATTCCAATATCCTGCGTACCCGATTGTGTCTCATTAAACGGCTTTCTAAGGCAATTAAACTTGACTAACGTATTTGCAACATTCGATGAATGGGGCGAAACGCGCGAGTCATGATTATGACCCCGATTCGAAGCTAAATATTCGCATAATCGCGTATGCAAGTACAGTGAGCAACGAAAATATTCAGACACTAATGTAAGATATGTTCGATTAAATTTTCCGCTGAGACATTTTCTACAAATGTTGTTTGTAAAAAAATTTGAAATTATTTTCTTTTTTCGAGCATTCTGGTCATCGACATGGTCGTTTTTCCTGTAGTCTCTTTTTTAATATTTCTTTTATTGCACACGGGCGTAATTCGAATTCTATGATACAATTCATTCCACTTTTCTATAGGATTCAAATTCGGGGAAAGGGGTGGAGGGTGTTTTTCGACAATTGGAGAGCGGAAATTCCTGTACAATACCAGCTCGGTATTTTAAATAACAGCCCTGATAAAATTTCAATGTTGCATGAATTCCTATTTGAACAGGACTTATATTAAATTTTCGTTTTTACAATGTCGAAATACTTGTTTTTCGTTGATAATAGTCCTCGATTAAATTATTATAAAAATCATTTTTAAATGATTTTTTGCCATACTTTTGCTGAATGCATCGAATACCTTTTACGGAACGTATCGCAACGGAGAACGTTGTTACCGATACTACTGGCAAAATACAAACCGCGGGTCAAAAGTGAGCCGACGTTGGTCGAGCGTGGGTTTAAGCGGTTAAGCAGGATTAACGATTCAGACGGTCTCATCGGCAGGTTTAGATGGCAGCCAGGAAACTCATAATACTACCGGCTAACACATTGTGCGATGAAATTGTAAATAGCCCCCTGAGACGACTCGTGAGACTGGAGAGTTTAAGTACCGCACGATATACGTGGTTACCCAAGGGAAAATTGTTCCTGACCCTGCTCCGCGACTACTCATCACGACAAAAATACATCCTTTCACGTCGCTGCTTACACCTTGAACTCTGTAAATCTGTGCGTTACAAATTAGTCGCCGCACACCTTGGACAAACTAATTTATTACGAACTTGTATCACGGATTCAACAGAATCGAGCCTCCCCCCAGTGTGGCATCGAGTCATTTTATTCTTTTACTTTATCGAAAACGACGTATTGCAGTTAAACAAATGACGCGACCGTTATCAGCAACTGACATACCCTTTGATTCAGTACCAGATGATGAAACTATTGTTCGTTCTTTGCACTTTGTACAAGCTCGACATAACATAGAATGTACAGGGAATTCAATTTTAATCTATTCGCGCAATTATCTATTGCTCACTGATATAAAATATAAATCATTTTTTTCCTCTAAAGTCCATTGCACCTGGACCGAAATGTTAGAAAAATATCAGGAAAAATATCAGAGAAAATAAAAATTACTGTTGATTATAGATACGATCGGTGGATAAACGAAAAATTCGATGAAAAGGTGTTCCGATTGTAAAAGGGTTAAAAAAATGAGTACACAGATGGATTAAAATTGCACACCCTGTAGAATTGCATTGCATTCGGTCGGTCCTGTGCCTCGATTCGTCGACTGTCGGACGTATTTTAACGGAATTTGATGGAAGCTGGTTTCGCTCAGTCAATACGCTTTCAGGGTGTAATTAAAAGTTACTCCGCTTTATAAAGGTATCCCCATAAGAGTATGTAAATTAAATCACTCGAAAAGCATTAATACTGCGTATTGCTTTTGCATTGAAATCCTCAGAAATTTTTTTACAGTAATTTGATTGAGGGCCAAATAGAAGAGAAAATTACATTTTTATTAACGATATTACGAGTTCGTTGCTGTAATAGAGATTATTTATCGTCGGTGGAATTTATCGACGACAAAATGGTTTCGAATGGGCAAGGAGGGAGGCTAGCAAAAAGTACGATAAACGATACAGAGATGCGTAATAGGTAAATCGAATGAGCACGAGCGAGAAAGGTAAGCAAGTCGGATGGTAGTCGTATAAATCGCCTCTGAATCATGAGTGTTGAGACGTGGCCGTGTAAATGTGTCTTCGAAGTAGCTGGGATGCCACTTAACAATTGCTTAAAATAACCAGAACTGCGTGGATCGTACGATGGGAAATCGCTTTTCTCCGTTCCTTTTTTTTCCTAACTCTTCATTTATCTAACATTATACCCTAACACTTTTTCACGTAGAATATTTCAAAGAATCGGTCTGTATTTTTCATTAACATTTTTTGTTATTACGCTGAGAGAATAACTATTGACAATTGTGTAAATCACTCTGTAAAACGAAGACACTTCACCACAAAACGATCCTTCGGTTTCTTAACCCGAAGACATTGAAGGATTAATGCGACCTAATTCGAACAGCTTAGGAGTAGGGAGACAAGAAACTAAGGGACGGAAGGAAACTGGTAATTCCAAGCTTCTTCTCGAGTATCAGCGCAACCCTCCTTGGGAATAAAAAAAGGGACCTAATTATCCTTTGTTTTATCCTAGAGGATCCGAGCGGTATCCCACCGCACGATCCACCCTAGCGAAGATAGGAAAAACTTTTTAAAGACCGCCACCATTCCCCCGCAAGGGATCCGTGACCTGTTTCCCTGAGGAGAAATTTCCGGAATTTTGTTCCAACTCTTACCCAAAACTCGAGCTACTATTGTCCTTTCTCCTTCTTTTTCCCTCTGCGAACTCTTGCGTTGGATCAACAGCTGCTCGTGATCGAAATCCTCAGCGCGTCACCCTTCGAGTTAAGTAAACAGCGGGGTATACACATAACGAACCGTAAATCCCGTGGATCGTGGCGCGAGAATCGCGGATTAACTCGCCAACAACTAAGATCGTGAACAAAGAAAATATTCTGGTGTCGTTTCGAACTTTTTGCGATCGCCTCAATGTATCGCGCCCGCTTTAGTTAAAAAATAGTATCTTCAAGATTATTATATATATGTTAGCGACAATGTATAGAATGCCTGGCGTTTTTGGGAAAAGTATAAAATATCCGAATTATTTTAATATTACATAAACTTTTCCTAGACATTATAAGAATTTTGGAAAATAATTCTTCTAAAAATTAGTAGAATAAGAAAAAATCTTAAAATTTTAATTTTGGGGAAAATTAATATCTTTTGTATTAGGATTTAGGTCGACATTACTTAGGCATTCTATACAATACCAGCTTTTCATATATTGCCGATAACATGTTTATACATGTTACGTAACAATTCTTTTCTGTGAAAACGAAATCGTGTTAATAAATTACAAAAAAAGGCATGGATTAATGAATCGGTTCAGTAGATGAGGGAATACTGCTTTTGTTTATCACGGCCGGTATTTGTTTTGCAGGTGTTATCAGCCAGGTGATAAAAACCCTCCTCGGCCGTGAAACCAGCACTCTGACACGACATTTTTCTCGCACTTTTCCCGCTTTCCCTTGTACTCCAGTCGGAAGAGGGTAGTTGGTAGGTACGTCGTTTGAACTGGGACGGAAGCTGCTACCCGCAGGGAACAGGGGGTGTGGAAGATGAACGCGACCGGTGAAGAAGGATCGAAGATAGAGTGAAAGCAGGAATTGAGAAAATTATCTGGAGCAACGAAAATGAGGCAGGATGGTACGCTCTACCTGCTATCGCTGCTACTTTTCTCGTTGGCCAGTTTTTCCGGGGCTCTTGTCGAAACTCGAGGTACGTAAAATTGTTTTTCACTAACAAAGAGTTTGCAAACTTTTGGCCAACAAATTTCCGCGAAACTTTCGACATATCTTCCAATGTGAAGAATTATACGATTATAAGGATCGTGCTGATGCATATGATTAATTACATGGTGGAGTATTGCACATTCGCGAGCCACCCCATCGTTGCTTAGGAATTTTTCGCAAGGGGTTGAAAGCTTTGAATATTCATAGAGCCTACTCCGAGTCGAACATGTTCCAACAACGTGACAATCATGTCTGATTTTCTTCTAATTTAAGTCACTTCATGGTCATCGGTATTTCAATTGAATACCCGAATACTCGAATTCATTGGAATTATTTTTCTTGATACCATTTTTTGTTTAAACCCACCACCTATTTCTCGTCGTAACAAAATATATTTAGAATTTATCGGGAATCTGTAAATGCAAGTACTTTTGCGTCACTATTGGAAGCAGAACTTCAAAGCGACTGAGACAGCGCGAAAAATATGCAAAGTGGAGAACGAGAGAACCGTCTCAATTCGTGTAGTTGAGAAGTGGTTCGTTATGGGGATTTCGAAGCGACTGACGGCAGGTGCAGACATGCACCGAGCTTTAACTTCGCGACAACTTTTCCTGATCCCAGCGAACTGATGAAGTTGAAGACGCCAAACAACCGACGATTACGAAGCCTTAAGTGTAACAAATAACCCGCGGGTATCGGTTGATGGGTTCGCTTTGACCGTTTCATGGAGAGCTTTAGAATGGTTTGTCTTCGAGGCCGACGTTATCGTCGCTGAATTTTTTTCGACCACTTCTGTGTTGCATAAATTGAGACGGTTCTCTCATCTTTCACTTTGCATATTTTTCACGCTGCCTCTGTCGCTTTGAAGTTTGGTTTTCAATAGTGTCGACGAAGCACTTGAATTTACAGATTTTTCATAACTGTTTTTAAAATCACTTCAGGACAACAAATATGAAATTTTAAGAATTTCAAATAGTCTCGATACAAATATTTTCAATGTTCGTTATATGGTCCAAAAAAATGCTGTACTTTTATTTTTATTTATAGGAAATAAAAAGAATAAAATGCTTTATGAACTAAAAATTATATTATTTTATACAAAATTGGAACAGATCCAATTGAATTTGTATGGGTTTGTATCAAAATAATTGATTCGTTGTACGGCTTTTCGCTTTACGGCCAACCTTTCCGGAACGTATCTAGGCCGTAAAGCGAGGTATGGGTGTATTAAAAATATTTGTATCATATACAAAATCAATAATTGCAGAACCAAATATTCGAACAATTCGTGCATCGCGACGTTATTTGAATGGCGTAATGACTGTTTAACATACAAGGCAGACCAGGAGAACCTAACGATTCGACTGGCTAAAAACTCGGCAATTATACGCAGCCGCCGACTAATTTGCAATTGACTCGCGTACGGATCCACCGGTAATTGCAGCTGATACTATGTCAGGCTTGCGGATATGAGCCGTGTCCAGCAGGAAAATATTTCCAACGATTTTGTTTAAAAAAAAAAACATTTAAGATCATCTATTCGACGAGTATAAGCAGTTCTAATAATCAAAAGTTGTTTGTTCATCCCTGTTGTCGATTTCAGAAAATTAAGTACGCTCCGTGATAATACATGTTCGCAATATAAGCCTTCGTGAACTGATCATTTACGAGGGAAATGAGTGTATAATAGCAAGTTCATGTTATTTCCTGCATAATTGCTAAATTTCAGTCCGGTTAACGACTCGTTGCAATCCAGCGCGGAAATTCTAACGATCTCGGCTAATTAAGTTGTTCTTCAATCTACGGGGATATTGTTATAAAAGAGATTAAGCCAAGGGACAAGGGACAAAGGTATCCTCTGCCCTGCGAGACGCAAGGAGCTTCACTTACGGACATATTATATTAGGAATGAAGTTACATTTAATTTTTGCCTTTTTACCTGTTTTGGTCATTTTTCGACGTCGTTATTATTGCATCTTCTGTTAAATCACTCTTATTTGGTAATGGCTACCTCTACATATCGATGATCACATCTGATGACACAAAATTATTGCAATGCGAGAAAAAAGTGGTCACGATGGAATAAATATCAGTGAAAAACTGTTGACACGCGAATTGGATTGTGGAAACGATGCAGTTGCATTACCTGCAAATTCGTCAATCGAGGAAAGCGAGACTGATGAAGATATAAATACTCCCTCTGCAGCTTAATGCAAAATGGGGATCAATTCAATATCGGGGCAGCATCCGAGGCCAGCTTATCCTGAAATGATAAAATATTTATCAGACGCGTATAAACATATTCAGATTCTGTTTTCGTATGAATTTGATCTCGCTCTATTTCTTTCACAGTTACGGCTGTTTTGCAGGCAAAAGTTTCAGCAATGTGAACAACGTTGCTGTGCTTTATTTCCCCGAGGATATAAAGAACCAAATATGTAGATGCATTGAAAATATATTCATAAGATGTTAATGATGCAACTTATTCTTATGCTTCGAATGTTTTTACAATCTTCATACATCAGAGACATAAAAATTGAATATAATAATTTTATAATTATCTGGTGATGAAAATTAAATCATAGATTGAATGTCTCATTAAATTAGTATTACCGCATTTTATTCGTATAAATTCAATTGGAACACTGATAGATAAAGCTGAAAGGAAGAAAATAAAGAGGGATGAAACAGGGTGGAAACAAAACAGGATAAAAAGGAAGAACGGAGAAGAAACGTGAACCGAAAAAAAAGCGAAAGAAAAAGAAAAAAATTTCGCTGTAAAAGAGGGTATAACGTTGGAAAAGAAACGGGAACGAAGGAAAGGACGAAAAAGAAGAAAGCGACGAATGCGGTTGAAAAGACCCAGACGAACCTCGATGGTATCATAGATTTCTGATGATGAGACGAAGTTCGCAAACTGCAGAACATGAAAAAGACTAATTGAGAGCGAAAGAAATCGTAAATAAAAATAGAAAGAGCGAGTAAATAAGAAGCCGAGATAAGTAAAAGAGAAATAGAGTACAGGTATTGATGAAAATACAAAAGTCGCAAAGAAGAAATAGTATTAATGAGCGGCTCTTTATTATTTCTATAGAATTGGCTGCATCAATGCCAGTTAATTACCTGCTACCAACTTCTGTTAATCGTCGGTTTCCGGGCAATTCTATTACTCTAGGAATGGATATTGAGGCAGGAGCAAGATATTTAACCCTTTGCGATCTGTAACTATCTTCAAAGTGTAGGAGGCCCTCAAGATCAGCTCAGACTCGGGCCGCCATTCCTGTCAATTCGTCGTTTAACGTCGACTCAAAATTACAAAACTGTATAGACGGAACATAAGCTGCCCCTTCAGGTCAAGAAACCCTTAAAATTGAAAAGAAAATGGCAAAAATTCAGTAGTTGTAAATCGATTAGGTTTCGAGTCCATTCGGATCGTGTCGACTGAAAATCCTTATGGAGCTACTTGATTTACCACTACTCACCCTCTTATTGCAAATTTATGGTCCGTTTATATACATCTACGCTCAAAACTAAATCTGATATCAATAAATATTTAATGTACGTTGCAAAACAATTTATCAATAAATATTAGCAGTACTGACAATATAATATTTTTAACACTTCTTACAATTTTAATAACTATCTCTGAACATATTATCAAGATCCATTAATATCAAGAGAAAACTTGCTTCTTCTACTTTTGTCATACAGACAACGCAATATGCATCACTTCAATTTATCGTCCTAGTTTGCATGGAATTTAATATAACGTATCAGGGATGAGCAAATCGTTAAGTCTCTACTTGTGCAATTGTCCTAATAACATCCATGGTGCAGATGTGATACGGCCAGTATTATTTGCACGATACAATGGAAGCGATGCGCGAATAACGATATACAGTCGGGGACAAAATTACGTGGACGAGTGGTGAAGATTGATATTATTTAAAATAAATAAAAAATACTATCGGAGTAATTATATTTCTACTTGTTATAATTTTTCACAATATAAAATTTCTTTAATTACAGGCATTTGGACGTTATTTTATAAATGATCCTAACACTACGACGGTATAATGTAAACTGATGACTCTATGAGATACCTCTGTTCATAGGAACAATCAACATTTAGCGATTCTCTATATTGTTTATTTCCAAATATGCACCTTGTTGTCCGACTGTCCATTTGATTTTGTTTCCGTCAAATTGATTGCAATGTGGATTACACGTCATTTATTCATATTCGTACAATATTCTGAATATTATGAAAACATATAATATTTCGAATTGCGTTTATAATAATAAGAGTTTCCTCATTAAATTTGAATAATAAACATTTCCACAACGTGTCCAATTAATTTTACCCTCGACTGTAAGCGAGAATTACGCTCGTCGACTGCTGCCGAGAGCCGATACAGTGGCTTTTCGCACTCCAACGATTTGCGTCTTTGACTTTTCATCGTATGAAACGTAATCGGATTAGTGCTGATTGTCTCGGATTAACGACAAAAGATCTCGAGCCAGAAGCAGTTGAAAATAATATATTACTTGGAAGCTCGTAAAACGTATTTTTTCCGAGTAGAAAGTTTTCCTAAGATTATTATTGCTTTTAATTATTTTAGGATGCAATCGTACCGTCAGAAATTCCGTTGGATGGATACGATGGACAGGACGAATGGGACGATGTATGGTTCACATTAGAGCACCTTCCAGAGACACTCAGGTTAATAAAAATTCTTTTTCTTTCAAGCATTCTTATAATTCTTTCATAATATTCATTTTCTGGGTTCCAAGCTCTATTAAAATAATTTAATTGGATATAGGTGATCGAATTAAAAATTAGAAGACTGCAAGTTGGTTTTCTGAAAGAAACCAAATGTAAAGGTGCTTACATTCAGTTTTTCGAGAGCAGCGAGGATGTTCAAAATGAAACGGGACGTTATTGCGGCCACGTGAATAGCAATACGACCAGGTAAAACAAATTCCAATTCACTAATATTTCTTGCAAATAACTTCGGTACGAATACTTTTCGCGCCAACTTTGTTTGAGCACCGTATGCTCTTTAAATGCAGTGTTCTTTTTTTATTACCCTGCAGATTGTTCCTGAGGAAAGGACCAAATTTGACAATCATAATGGACTCGGACGTGAAATTTGCTACCGAAAACCCGGTGATCTTCTCCGCCCAATTTTCAATTCTACCAACGCAGCTGGCTGCCGAACGATATCGCGGTTTCTCTCCTTCCTTTTCGTTCGAGTGTCCGATGGAGTGCGCCATGAGGAACGAGCAACGATTCTGCAAACTGATGTCCCCCGGTTACCCCGGCGTTTATCCCCGGGGCATCAGGTGCAGAATCGCCCTGGAATCGAACACGGGTCGTTTCAAGATCGGAGGTCAACCGAACGATGTCTTCGATCTGATGAACCATACGTCTCAGGACAGCTGTCAGACAGAGAACTGCGAGCGGCACATTGAAATCGTTCCGGAAGCATCGAGGACGAGGGTCGCTAAATCGGTCAGACGGTACGTACCGGGATATATATCTAAGAGGAGACCGAGAAGTCCCGATCACGAGGAGGAGCTAGAATTTATCATTGGTCAAACGTCGCACAAGTTTAAGAGGAACAGAAATGATCGAAGAAAACTTAAGAAAGATAAGAAGAAAGTTGTTGGATCGAAAGGACTTCACAGTTCTCGTAGAAAAGACGTAACCGAGGATAGCCGAAGAAATAGCCACCGTACGAAAGAGATAACCGAACAGTCATCCGCAGTTACCTTTCTCGGTATCAGAAGCGACTCCAGGCTGTTCGTCGGTTATCACGACGAAGAAACGTCGCCCGAATTTAGTCAAAGGAGACTTCATCGCCCGCAGCATCTTCGCAAAAAGTCTATGGATTCGATCGGTTCGTGGAAGAATTCTGATCACGATCTGGAAGATATATCGAAGGAAAATATTTTTCCCGATGGAGCACGCGAAATTTCAAGAAAGGGATCGATCCAAGAAAGGATAAACACGGTACAGGTAAGTTCACTGGAAAATGTTTTGTCATAAATATGAAATAATAAATTTTAACACTAAAATTCGAGTCAGAGGTAACAGATATGCAACCGAGTGCATTCGAACCCAAAAATCTTGAAAGTCTCGAAAGTTTGAAGAGTTTCGAAGTCTCAGAAGTGTTGAAATTGTTGAAACCAACGTGGTCTATGAATTTGATCCACCGATAGCCAGAAAAGCGGCTTCTATTCGAGAAACGGCCAAACCGTACCCCGAAGCCTTGCGGCACCATACCCATCCCCAACTTTATCTCAGAGTTAGACGATCACAGAAACTGTAACATAAGTGGATGAAGCCGCGTATCCTACCCACTTGTATTTCCTTCCTTTCCCTTCCAACGTTCTCGCCATTCAACTCATTTCACATTTATTCCTATAGGGTTAGTGGAGACATTATTTTAAGCATCTTGCACGACATAGCCCCGAAAGATAAAGGCCGAGCCCCAAGGGCTCGTATCTACAATTATATACCTGTCGTCGCCGCCACAAAACTTATCTCACTACCCAACAGCCTCGGTTTTTAAGAAATTTCATCTTGAAGAGAAATTATATTTTCTGCATTTAATCGTCCATAATGGAGCGGTAAAGTACTCTAATTACCGAAATTACTTAGCAAATATTACCGCACTTTAACTTCTCGGTAAAGGATATTAGAGCAATTACATAGTAAACTCTAAACAGTTGTCGCAAACTTCCTCTACCACATACAGAGTGAGTTAGTTTTAGTTAACTTAACTTAACGAGTTAACTTAATATTCAATCGCTGTCATAGTTTCCACTTAAATTTTATCTTTTTCCTAATTCTACACTCTGTTTCGAATTTCAACTTCTAACGAAGAAAGAGACAAATGCAGGAGTGATAAATTTAGCATTGTTTTTGAATAGAATTATTTTTCATTTTGATAAGGCTTCCGAATATCCGTACAAGAGGAGGAATCAAATACAGGAGAGACTAGGAAGCAGCAGTTGCGTCGGCGATTACCTCGTTCTTTTGGAGAACGTGGACGGGAAGATGTTCGAAATTTCGAAATTTTGCGGCGAGGGTCGAGTGCCGCGAATAGTAACGCGAGGAAAGAACATCATCGTCGAGTTCTTCGCGCAACAAGACGGCACGATAATGCACGACGGCTTCCAATTGTCCGTACAGGAAACGGAGCAGGCATCCGGTGCGAAACACGGTCGAAATTGTGAGTTCGTTTACAAAAGTTCCGAACGTACCAGGGAAAGCATTAAATCGTTGCCGAGCTGGTATCCTCCGGATACTCTATGTAGCTATAAATTCATAGGAAGGTCTTCGGAGAAGATTTCCGTTTACATGAAGATAATCAGAAACGAATTGAACCAGGAATATTCATCACAGAAACGAAATCTAAGCCTGGGTTACTGTTCCGGAAATGAGATTGCAGTTTATAATGGAATAGAAGTAAGTCTGAAGATAACTTAATATTCAATGCCTGTCAAAATTTTCACCTATATTTTATTTTTTTCTAATTTAACACTATGTCTATTTAATTTAACCCTTTACAGTCGAGGACTTTTTCAAGTGTACTTCTCACTAGGCATAAAGCAATATCATGTACTGAAGCGTTAAATATACTCAAAGGGTTAATATTGCCAAATAGGAAAATATACTCAATGACGGTATAGATAATAAAATTGTTTTTTGCCGTCTTTGCGGCAACATTCGACCTAGTGAATAGAAACGTGATGCCACTTGTATGGCGACATTCGACCGCAAAGAGTTAATTCTCAGCATTTGTATCACAAAATAATAGTTATAATTGATTTTTGCCATTTTACCTTTTGCTACTTAACACATTGTTGAGTGGCAATTTTACGCAGAAAGTATCACATGTCACCGGGTATTATTTCGTGATTGAACACGACGAAGAAAAATTTTACAATATTCCATATTGTCCTGAGTTTCGAAAATGAAAGTAGCCAATGCAAGAATCTAAAATGGCACGGTACTAACTGAACCTGAGTTAATGCTTGATAGAGATTAGGGCAACATTACACTGCTCTCACGAATATAAATATTAATTTTACAGGCAAACAACAGCGTTCTAATATGGTCCTACTGCGATGTGTCTCATCAGGATATCAATAACATACAAGTCCCTCTCACCTCCAGTGGGAATGAACTGTTAATACAATATTACAGTGCCAAGGGTTCTTACGACGGCCAAGAATTCACGTACACGATATCGTACAGGTTTCTAAAGAAATCGAAGAATTCCACAAACAGACGTCAACTACAGGATGATCTGAAGCTGATCTCTCTTAGACCGGTCAACTTTTCAGCGTTAAATTTAAACGACAGCGAAAACTGTAATTGCGATTTCGACGATAGAATAGGCACTTTCAAAAATTGGTTTATGGTTCTCGTTGTGCTGGGAATAATTTCCTTCTTCGGGGCTATTTTCACGATAATCACCCTCCTTGTCAAGTGTATCAAAATGAGAACGATGGAGAAGAGGCTATTGCAAACTCCAAAACTGTGAATCTAATCAAATTTTCTACTGCTTTCTAACTGTTCACGCTACGATAAAAAATAAAATTGTATGTGAAGTAATGTGTTAGGTCGATGCCAAAGTATTAGGAGTATGCAGATTTCACTGTCCATGTGTAAATAGATATGAAATACTTTAGTAAAATTTATAGCTTGTTTCATTTTATTGTTAATGTCAGTCAATTTGCGTAAGACATTGTTAATTCGTACGAAAACGAAAGTTTAAATGAGTTTATTCTTTAACACTAAAACTACCGACGTGTGAAGCACACTTATTTTTAAGTTGAAAATGATGTAGATTACTAAATAGATAAAAACAGTCAACATACATCTAACCAAAAATACCTCGATAAAATTTATAATTTAAAATAAGAAACTGGAAACCAGTCATTTTGACCCCTTTGGTAGTTCCAGTGTTAATTAAGAATGAAAATAAATTGAAATGCTTTATTCTTTGATCAATTCAAAAAGTATTAATTCATTTATATAAATTATTTCTCGCAAAACTAGAAATTATTTGATCAACTTATATAATCTGTTCTTTGTAGTCCATCGAGAGCATATTACGGGTTAGTACAGGTTTCTGTATCGTAACCGGGGTTAATTGGGCTTTTAACCGAGTTACGAAGCGGTTAGAGCCCCTATCTGAAAGTGAACTTACTGTTAATGGTGCTTGCTTCGACGGTGCGGTGTTTGCAAAGGTACATACAAGCCTGTGACCACGAGATCAATTATTCGTTCAATTGCCTCAGGTTTAGGATAGAGCGACTCGAAAGTCACGCAGATAATTTTGAATTGTTTATATTTTCGAAATCAAGCTCAAAAATATTACAAAAATTATACACGTCTCACCGATATTCAGAATACGAGAGCTCAAACATTTTTGGATGCTAGATACAGCAGTCTGCGTTTGTAAATAGAAAATTATACATTTTGTATGCTGCGTTGTAATCGAGCGAACAACGAAGAAAGTAATTTATAACAATTGTGGTTAATAGATAGGCCGAATCGATTAAATGTGAAATTCATCGAGTTTTGCGAACATGTAAATACACATCATCGTTAACATATCTAGTTAAATAATAAGAAAATGGTATCGTTTTATCATCACGATTCACATTTTATTTAAAAATTTGCAGCTGCCCTTCATTTCCCACATTTTAGGTGGAATCGGTCTTTTCTTTAATTTACGATGAAGCTTGCAGAAAAAAATGATCTCGATAGAATTAATAGATGTTTAGATACGGGCTTGTAACACATGTGGTGAAACACTGTATATAAAATAAATTTTAATTTATTTTTTCGCTAAGTATCATGATTGATGTTCTAAGCTATTGATACGAATATTTTCCTACAGTATGTAATCAAAGTCTTTGTACATATAATAAAATCTGAAGAAGATAATCATATCAGTCTAAATGTTGCAAAACTAAATGAATAATTCTTTAGAATTGATTGTATGAGTAAAATTTGACTCTCAGATAGGACTCCGCACTTATATGCAGAAATTTTATAATATTTAATAATTCAAAATTATGTTATTTTTTTTCTATGAAAAATCACTTTCAAAAGCGTGGAGGCTGAACTTTGAATTCCGCGTCGGTAAAACAATTAACGTTTCATCGAAAATTAGGCCGAACAGAAACAGATTTAAGCGCCACCTCAGTAATCGCATGCTATCAACGGTATGCTATACTACGTCACCTTTCGCATACACCTAAATGACACGTGTATGCTACGATAGCTATATGTATAAGTACATAATTAATTTTTTTTCCGTAAAATTGTATTTGTAATGTGGTACACTTCAGAATCTCAAAGGCATAATTCCTGAAAAAAATATAACACAGATTAAATTTAAAAAAAAAGCATAAATTTCGCAGCCAATTCGCTCGTATTATTTGCTGCATAATTAATAAATGTACAATAGAAGTAATGATACAGTTATTAATTAGTCATCAAATAATAACGATTGCCCAGGTCTTACCACGGGGAGGTTGTTGTGGGCGGAGACCCGCCCTACCTCGTCCCATCCACCCTCCATTTATGCAAATTTTTACTTTCATTCAATAACATCATCCTCTTGATGCACATTTGCAAAACATTTCGACTGTTCTGCAAACGAACAACAAAAGGAGCATTAGTTTTATTCACTACCTATCTATCTACTTATCTATACATATATCTACGTATGTTTTTGTTTTTTATTCCTATTGCAACATTTTTTAATTTTGATTTTGATTACAGATCTGTAATTAATAAATATGCAATTGCATATTTGTCCTACATACTTATATTACTAGGAATATCTGCCTATTCCTATAATACTCGTATAATATAAAAATTCACTTAAATCTAACGCTTCATAATTAAACACTGCAGTGTTTGACGATTATATCTTAATGACCATATACATAAATAAATACAATGAATTTGTTGATTTTGTTGTCCTCACCAGAAAACTTCGTGAAACAAACTGAAAAGGGTTAGACATCATTTTTAAAAATAATAAAATTCATATAGCCTTATTAATAACTTTACGACCTGCCTATGTTTTTTGTTTTTTGTACTGTTAACACCCGATCGGCAATTTAATTTAATATTTGAAGATAATTTAATCTTACCTGTTGCAGACACGTGCCAAACGGACGAAGCTTCGAAGAGGAATGTTGCACTCCACCACACTCCGCGCAACGCACCTTTCAACGATGAATCTGATTGGTCTAAATAAGAGGACGCCATAATGGAATGACCAATCACAGGCACTGATAGAAACTTCGAATTGCTTTGAAACTTTAACATTAAAAGATCGGAATGATTCGTTGAAAATTATCAACACCACATTGAAATAAGATCAAGATTACTTTTTTCACTTTAAAGCACAGAAATATAAGAAAGAAGATACAAAAAAACATAAAATATTAATGGTATTTAATAAATTATCGTCATAAAAGCAGAATAGATGAGAAATATGTTATTTTAATTCGCATCTATATTGGCAATGATGGAAATGATATCAGAAATCATGACTCCGGTCTTCTCTTTAACTTTGTATTGTTTTTAAAAAGGTGAGAAATCGTTTCTGGGGATTTTTCTAAGGACTGTCGGTAAAGTTTTCAACGCTTGCATCACCTAAAATAGAATGGAATGTAAGGATGAATGCGTCATTGATGATACATACTATAAATGCACGTGTGTGGAAGTGCAGCTGTGTAGCATTTCGTTGTAGTGAAACGTGATCAGCTGAATTATACATGACCACGACTACTGAATTATACATGATTATTGTCACTTAAAAGCATTCGGTACATAGGTTGGTCAGATCTAATTAATATAAGCCAATTTTTTTGTATCTAAACCGAGGTATTAAGCACATTTTGACACTATGGTGAGTAAAGAAGACTTTAGTTCATTGAGGTTATGTTCGAGGCAACGTTTGAGACTCCAAATAAGGAATGCTAAGTAATATAAAGATCAAAATGTTAAACAAACGTTGATATATATGTAGCTATTTAAGTGTTTCTGAAAAATAAAGAAAACAACATTAGAACAAAATCTGAATGCAAATTTTGCTAAACAGATTTATATAACCTATATTTGTTTGTTATAGCAAGATCCAAATGAGGACACAGAATGGAATGATATTCTCAGGAGAAAAGGAATTATACCTGAGAAAGAAAAAGAAGTTACAGAGGAACAAATAGTGGATATAGTAGAAAATACTATAAATGAGAAGACTGGACGTGGTACTTTTTATTCATTTCATACCAATATTATAACTAAAAATAGAACTTTAATAAATGTAATTATTTGTATACATAGCTGCTAATGATTTGGAATCTAAGACACTGGATGAATTAGATGAATTAGAGGATGAAGAAGATGAGAAGATTTTATTGGAATATAGGAATAAAAGAATAGCAGAATTAAAGGAACTGGCCAGCAAATCTAAATATGGAGAAGTGAAAGAAATTTCAGGTGAAGATTATGTTCAGGAAGTGAATAATGCTGGAGATGATGTTTGGGTTGTACTTCACTTGTATAGACCTGGGTATGATTTTCACTTATTGTTCAATGAACTTGAAAAGAAATACATTGAAATACATTGAAGAATTAATCATATAACTTCTGTTTTAGCATCCCACTTTGCACATTAATAAATCAATATTTAAGCAATTTAGCTAGAAAATTTCCTACAACAAAGTTTCTGAAAAGTATTTCTACTACTTGTATTCCTAACTGGCCAGATAGTAATCTTCCTACAATTTTTATTTACCATAATGGAAACATGGTAAAACAACTTATTGGACCAATAGAATTAAGAGGAATGAAACTGACAGAAGCAGGTTCATATCCATAAAAGACATTTTATCTTAGACAAACTTTTTATGTGTATATTAAAATTAATATTGATTGTTATTTTGTTATAGAACTAGAATGGATGTTGGGTCAAGCAGAAGCTGTACCCACAAAAATTACTGAGGACCCAAGGCCAAAAGTCAGAGATGTATTATTTTCTACATTAAGACCTGAAAATGATGACTTGGCTGAAAGTGATGATTGGTAATTTATTTATGGTAGGCATTTGAAAAAGCCAAATCACTATAATGCACAGAATATTTTATTTATTTAATCATTATTGTCACACTCACCCACCCACCCAAATGATTTTTTGTTATTTCTCAAATTTTATTATTATAATGATTTTATTACCACAATAAAGTATTTTATTATGACATTACTGATTTCGAAATTGATTTTCACACATTTTCATGCTTTCATTATGTTTCGAAAAATAATTTTTTGTAATCGTAATATATACGTACGAAAAATATTAGGTTCGGTTCAAATCCTGATTCAATTATAGTTATGAAAAATCTACAGAGAAAACAAATACAATGTAACTTACGTTTGAAGTTTCATCTGCATTTTGTATCCTCCATCTTATTTCGACTTCTTCGGCAAACGTGAAAAATATATGTAAATCGTAAATAGCACAAAAGGTGATCCCTTAAAAAGACAAAAGCAATTATATTAGTTTTTTAGTAACATATTTAATGCCGGCAAAATAAATATATACATTATACATCTCTGATCTCGGTGTGATGTTTCTTCGAACTGTTTACGTTTGTGTTTCTCAAGGACTTCTCAGGTTTCGGTCTGTTCTAACTGAAGTATCATAAACTATACTTTGTCCCTTCTTGCCGTTTCTCAGTTCGGATTATGCAGTGGTAGTGATTACATGTGGTCAGGCAAAATTTTAAAATTCACACTGACCTGCATGGTTTGCGTGTTTGCAAACATTTTAGGCGGCAACTAAACGTCGTCAATAAAGCTAGGTAAGTCCACACAGTATAAATAACTTATTTAATTTGTAACTATGAATATAAAAATTATTCGTTTATTGACAGATAATATATCTTATTGTCATCAATTAATGAATTTATAGTAAACAACACAAATTAAAACGCAATTAATAAAAAAAATAGTGGAATGCATAAGATATACATTTACAAACATTGAAGAAAATATTTACCATGTATTATCAAAATCCTTGGCATTTGACATATAAGAATTCTAAAAGTCTTTCATTGAATACAAAAGAATATAAAGAACAATGTTACTTTGAAATAAATGATATGATTAACAAAGAAAAAGATAACTTTGAAACTTATAATGTAGATGATGATACAGCTCTGCACAATTTTGAAACTGTTAGAACAATTCCCAACATATTAAAAAACAATTCAAAACTGAACAAGAAAATCTTTTCTCAGCTGAATGAAACAGATGAAAATCAAAACAATGTACAGATTCCATTCATATACAAGAATCCCTTTCAAGAAAATAAATGTTTTAAGAAAGAAACCAAATGTAAATATTTATCTCGCAAAAGAAAACAAGGACTTGGTTTTACTGATGTATGGAACGAATACCCTAGTTGGAATATAGATTCTTCTGTTGATGACAAGAAGAAAATATCAAACAAAAGCTTTCATACATCATTAAAATTAGAGGCTCCTACAAAACAGAGAAAATTAACATGTCACACTAAACAGCAGGATATAAAACACGAAATGTCTCTCCTTAAAACTAAACAAAATGAGAATTCTTGCAATATACCAACAAACTATAGTTCTGAATATATTTGCTTGCAAGAATTTGAATGTACAGATTTTCAAGATTCAATTGACTTTTCAGGCAATGAGATATTCAGTAAATTTAATTATGAATTATACAGTGATAATAATTTAACTGGCTCTAACATGTATATGCTGAATTCTAATGAAACTTATAATTCTTTGAGTACAACTAATAATAGTGATACCTTTGAAAAAGAATATGATTTAAATAGCAATAAAGTTGATACATCTAATGAAGGATATAGATCCTTAACAAATGAATCATTAGCATTTTCACAACATCTGGAGAAAGATATACTACTTCTAAACAATAATAAATTAGATTGGACATGTGATTCTCATTGTGATCATTGTTTGGAAAACTGTGTCTCCAGTTGGATAACAGCTAATGAAACAATAAATAACGCATTTCAAAAAGATAAGATGTTAGCAGGAATAATTAATCCAAAAGCAATCCATACGGATAATGAAATTGACTTAGATTCTACAGACATATATGATATATATTTAGCAACTGATACTTCATCAAAAGCAGATAGTACAAGAACATTATCATCAGAAAATTCTATTGATAATATTGATCTGTCATTACCAGAATTAGCAAGTTATTGCGACGAATATAACATCGTAGAGGAAATATCAAAAAAAGCTATAAATTCGGATGAAACCAAAAAATTTAATACTCTTAATGACTTTGATGATGTTTTGTTGGAAACCGATTTTGATATACCTACACCTGCATCCGGAAAAGAAATAAACGAATATCCGATAAATATATCGCAATCTGAGAAAGATTACGAATATAATTGCTCAAATAATAAAAAGTAAGTGAATCAGATACATCTATGCCGTACGAATATTTTTATAAATATTTATAGCATTATTAACAATAAAATATTTACTAACTTTGCGTTATGTTTAATTAAAACACAACATCATTTTCCTTCTATTTTACTAAAAGCACGAAATGCATTTGTAGATTTGAGTGTTCAGTATGTTCATTAACATTCTCGAAAGCCCGTACGTTTGCGATGCATCAAGCGGGCGCGCATGGAGGTAAATGTAAAAGAAAAATGAAAAAAATCTAAGCTTATTCGCGGTGTTTTTTTTTTTTTTTTACTAAATTTGCTTTTTAGGTATGTATGTAATACTTTGCGAAAGCTGCGGCACGTTTTTCAATCGAAAATACCATTTCAATAGGCATTTAGTTCATTGCAATCGTTTGAAAAAATCGTTCAGTTGCGACATGTGCATGAAAGCGTATAGGTAAAGAATTAGGCAGCCATCCTTTATTTTCAAAACTCTTAAGACTTTTTAAGATCGTAGTCTAGTCACTGCATTGATAGAGGTTTCTTTTCAGGCACAAGTCATCTTTGTCTCATCATTTAAAAGAAAGACATCACATTCCTTATGATCGTTCGCCAAAATTCACTTGTGGCGTGTGTAACAAAGACTATAGGAGATTCGGGGCTTTTGAGAATCATCTCAGAAAGCACCACCATGCACCCGGTAAATTATTAACTTATTGCGAAGATTGAAGAGAAAACAGATTGAGAGTAGTTTGGTGCTGCTATCATTTTTAGATCGATGATAGCGAATATGCAATATTATTACCATTCTACAACTAGTTTATTATCGTTTTTTCATTTCTGTTTTTTTAACTGCAATTGAATGCAATTAAGTTCTGGTACCAAAGTTCCTCGTTTTTTTATGCTAATACTAATTTTTATATAACATTCTAATAGTATTAGTAAGAACTATTAATAGTATTACTATAAGATTTAATAGAGATTATTTATGCGTTTGGAAAACTCTATGAGTTAAAGGATTGTTTTTGTATTGGTTTTTTATATATTTTATTTTTTTTTTTCGTTCTATTTCGTTCTGTGAGTAAATTATGTTACGTTATTATATATTTTTTAATCACTTTGACAGATGGAAATTATTTTAAACATTATTTTTGTTTTTATATGAACTTTGTACGAAAGTGATACCATATAGTGTTACTTGATTCGGCAACTGATATAATAATTTTGTTGTTACAAACACTCTGTACCAATCATACCAAGTAATCATACTACCAAAGTAATTATTACAAACTACTGTGATAGAGAAATAAGTAACCGCTTGTGATTTGTAATGAACTGACTTTTCATAATAAAGTTATTTCTTAATAAATTGAAATGTATTGTATATTCTTTCCTAATAGGCGTTAAAAAGTGTTATTATTTATTCAATTCTTTTTCTTAGTTAGAAACTTAGAAACCTAAGTTTAAAATTTTAGCTACAGGTATTTATTAGTTTTCGAGATGATAATAACTTTCGGTACAATTCAGTACAGACGTAACTAACCCATTGAATGCTGTTTGTATGTGTAGACGTTACTAATACAACCTCCTTCACATTTAGGAGTCCTAGTTGTATCGTTGAGTGTCCAGGAACCGATGACATGTACAGTAAAGACTTGATAAGTGTTCAGAATTTGGGAGCGGCGACGAAAACATTTAGCGGACAGAAGATTCAATTCTCCAACTGTGTCTATTTTGCTGCCATCAATGTAGAAAGAAACAGTAGATAAAAGAAAAAGATGGATTTGGGTTGACATAAGAGTTAAAAATTAAATGCCTACATATTCGTGAAACAACACTAATGTAACAACGACATTTTTTTATTTATATATTATGTTTTTTGAATGAATGAATGAATGAAGGAGAGGTGTGAGAGAGAGGAATCGGAAGCCAAGGGAGGAAAAAGCACGGTAGGGAAGAGAAATAGAGAAACTGTTATTGTTATAGACCGTGGATAGAATTAAGGGTTTGAATTAAAATACATATAAGGATAAGGAGAGCGGACGAGCGAGAGATCGAGTGAAACGGGCGAGTGACGCTTCGAAACTGAATAGCGACGCCACCTGGCGAATGCTAAGATAAATTTGAAAAATTACTTATTTTGCGTTAAAATACTTAGAAAAGTGACATAAGCAGATAGCTTTGGGTCTATAAGTTGCCAATGAGATTATCTTTGTTTCAATTTTCAAATTTGAAATTCAATCGTCATCTACTGAGCAAGTGGAATATACGAATATTTGAAATCATTTCAATTAATACCTTTGTTCAAAGTAAATAATATAAAAGACATAAACAATGAAAATCAACATAATGATATAAACAACAAAAATTATTCTTTTTGAAATAAAAACACTTCTTATCAGGAAGCGTACCGCAGTTTATGTTACGTGGTACTTCTAACGGTGTTGAAAGAGCTCGAAATTCCTAGCGGAAATTTGGTTTTAATGAAATACCAACCGATATAGTAAAATTTGATTCGAAAGTGGTAAAGACGACTGCAGTTTCCTAAATTGTGCGATAAAAAACGTGTTTTACGAATGATTCCTGTCGCGCCGTGTTCACTACTGGACGATTTACCAACTGTGTATAAGCAAGTGGTATCGTACCGACCAATCTCGTGATAGATTACGCGAGGTGTGCAAGTAGCTGGCGCATGTGTCGTGCCAGCTGATTGGCGCCCCAACCGCGACCAAGTGTCAATCTCGGCGAGCAGGTGGTGCTCGCGTCTCACCGCATTTGTAATGGCGTGCGACGGCTAGGTAAAGGGCAACAACGCGCACGAGTGCTCGGCTTTTCGTCTGTTGTAAAAACGAAAAAGTGCGTTAGTGAGTGCGTGTCGTGACAGTATCGTTAAAATGACAGCTACGTCGAGTATCCTGCCGTCGTATCAGCGGTTCGTGAACGGTGTGCCGGTGCCCTTGTTCTCGAGACGGTCGTTCCGTCCGCGTGAAAAGTATCTGATTCTACTGGTGTTTTTGACGTTCGGTGTCGTGTGTTTCGGTACGTTCTTCTTTTTGCCGGATTTCCGTGCTGGCACCGGCGGCGTAGCAGTGAACAGTGTGTATCGTGTTTACCAGCACATGCAGAAAGCGGGACCGGAATTGCTTATACCGGCGCCACCTCGTTTGCAAGGGGGTCCGAAGGGGTCCATGGGTCATCCGAATGCTGTGCCACCTGGACACGAGGGCATCGATCATCAGGATGTTCATCTGATCGAGGACAAGCAAAAATTACAGGTTCGCGCGAGTGTTGTTACGTTCACTCGACGATGCGCTTCTTTCGACTCTCGATACCTCGACTCTCGATTTCTCTAGTCGTTCGAAAACGCGCTTCAAACCTGTCCCCGGTTTTTTCCTCGCCTTTCAAACGGTATGTTAACTTACACTGGCTTTGACATTGATTCGACGCGTACCTTACGAGCAACGTGTACTTGTCGTGAGCCCGTTCTTTCAGCTGTTACACGCTATTCGTGTGACCTGTTTGTTTACACGCGGCCATCGTGACGTATCGTGGGCACACGTGAGTTTCCATGTGTACGACCCTGTCCATGGAAAGTTCACACGGTTTGCGATTCGGCGTCCTTTCGATTTGCCAGACTTTCCTCACTGTTTATTTAGTTCAGTCTTCCCGTTAACGGTAACTGTCATCGCGTTTTCACCGTGACAGAGACACGCATACTACATTCACGGACGTGTCTCGTCGTGCTCCGTTTGTTACTTTCAGTCGTTTTCAATGGAACTCGATCCTTGTCTCATCGGTTCGTTGTTTCTTCTATAGACTTCCTTTTTGTCGTTCGTTTGCGTCATAAATTACGCGAGACACGCGAAACACACCGGTACGTTTTGTGTGTACGGAATATTTATAGAGGTATACATATACGTAACCAAAACTTCAAATTGCGAGGTTCGATCCAGTTACATACACCGGCGCACGATACGTGAAAGCGGAGTAGAGTTGTCGTTACCAGTCCCGGATGAAATAGCGAGCGAATTACCAGCTCGTTGTGAAACGTAACTGTGTGAACTTCGTTGAACGGGATCGAATTATCTAATTTTTCGTTGACACTGCAGCCGGTGTCCCGCTCGCGAGAACGAGTTTTATCAGCGCTAATAGACTCTCGGCCTAAAATTTCACAGCACAATTTCCGACGCATCGACACGACCCTCGTTGAGACACTTCGCTTCGACCGACTAATGTACGGGGTGGCGTGAAAGTGTATAGTAGATCAGGAAAAGTATTGGCACGTTCTACTTTCTCAATCCTTCTTCGAGTAGATGCCTTCTTAGGATCATTCGTTTTTTCAAGTATCATTTTACCAAATTAGTAATTGCAAATGATTTCGGTACCGAATTGATCACAGCAGCTTAGGAAATATTAGAATCAACTCTGCTTTTGAATGAGATCATGTATTTGTTTTATAATGAACGGTGGAGTCATCGATATTATCGTATATAAACCGGGATAGTAATATAAGTTTATCTTTAGATAAGTTTTATATGAAGCTAGTTTTCTAGGTAACCTTGAACTTTTCATTGAAAAAGTAGATTACACATTAATTCTATGCCTTATCCTTTTTTTAATCGCAGATTTATTTTTAAACAGTCATAGTGATTCTAATTATCGAAATAATCATTATCATTTTTGAATCTTCATGCCATTTTTCAAATACATCAAATACAAAGAAAGCGTAGTGCTGAAGGCACCGAATTGATTTGTACACCTAATATTTAACCTCATTTAAATATCATTTCAACTCGTCGAACGTTGAATAGTATTTTCCTTTGAGAATTATTTTATATAAGAAATTAATTTTCTGCCGAGTAATTTCATCAAATGCACTGGCGGAATAAAGGATACAATAAGTGCTTTGTTTTCCTTTCGAATTACAAAAGTACACGATCGAAATCATGACGAAAGCGATTTTCTAAAGATGATGAATGGACGAAGTACGCAAGGTACATCGTTGCAGTGGCGACTCTCTAATTAACGATGACGAGCCTGAGATTGCAGTTCGATTTATGAACCGATAGGGAACGCTCGTGAATCAAATCGTTTTCGCGTTTATTCGACGTCAACGCCCCTTGATACCCGTGAAATAATACAATTTATCGACAATTCACATTCAATTGCCTCGCAAACTCACGCTCGCGAATGTTTAACGCTACACTTAATTTCCATTATTTTCGCTAACAAGTTATTGAACGTTGAAATGATTATTTCAATAATTTTAGCTTGAAAATTCCTTGATTCACAATTTTATCACCTTGAATGACGTACGTGTAACGTCACTGCTAAATAACTGCAACAAATCACAGCTCCTTTTATCTTCGATTTTTCAGCAAAACAATCGATAAGATTAACGCCCTGTCGCTGAGGGAATGAAATTTTAACGAGAACACTTGCCAAAATAAACTTATCGAGGTGTATAGTTTAATCAAACCGTTCGCTGAAAGTGTCGAAGGTACAAAATGTCGATTGATCCGCGATCCACATGTTACGATTAATACACGTCAATTGTTGAACATAGTTTGCATAATCTGGCCCTGTGTGCAATAATCAATCACGATTTAGCGAACTGGATTAATCGAATCAAATGTGGGGCCAGCTGGCCTGCGATTGAAAGAGTTGTAACGAGACGCAAGATGTTTTCGTACGGGTCATTTAATCGGAAATAATTGTATCAATGAAACGAGTACGCGAATGAGATATTTTTTTACGTTAATCTATTTTTGCAATTCATTCTGTTATCTTGAATTTTTTGAAACTTCAACAATCGCTAATTATTTAAATTAATTCATTCGATTCTTAAGATTTTTATTTTACACTTTGCATGATTTATCTTATATAGCAAACTTTTGCTCAAC